GGTGGTAGCTGAGTGAAGTGCACCCTCTCCTCCGTTTTTGGATGCGTAAACCTTTGTATATGACAAATGAAAACGAGACACACAATGATAACTATAGAAGACTTGCACACTATTGAAAATAAAATACAATGTCCCAAATCTATGAAAACTCACCCAATAGTTAGAGCATGGAGACAAGGTCTTTCCAAACCAGATACTAGTTGCAGAAGTTTCCCATGAAACTCAGAAGTGCTATGGCGCTTAAGTAGTGAGAGGGCCATGCTCTTTGTTCCTCCATAAACCTCATCACCTAGCAGGGGGATGCCGAGGTACTTCGCATGTGCTCGAATCTGATTTTGGAAAAAACACTAATTTGAAGATAAGTATTAAGTTGAACCAAATTCACCTTCTGAAATGGTCGTCAAGATATGACATTTACCTCACACAGCCCGTAAACAACGGGTGTGGGCTACTAAACACAACCGTCAGTCCAAACCAGATTGAACAACTGAAGTGGTGGACAGTCCAAATTTACTCCCATATAGGGTGCCCAAACCATTGAGTTTGCAGATGCTTGTTTTCTAGACTTAAACCCTAAAACCCAATTGACATTTGATGTGTGATACTCAAAACACACCCCCAATTCCAATCACACCCAACAACGGAAGGGTGGACAAACAGGCCCAAACTGAACAGGTGCCCCAAACCGTTCTTGGACACCTCACATATCACTACAGGACTAAGGTTTAATACCATGTTAAATTGGGACTAACTCATCCCAAAGGGTACATAGGATATGAGACTTGACATTTATATACAAGACTCAAACCCAATAATTAGTAAGCTAGCTCCCTAAATAGATGTGTGTGTAATGCAACAAGAATCATTATCCCAATGAACTAATCTAGAAACTTTTTGTCAGTATAAGCCTTGAAGATGCTTAAACCAAGCGAAGAAAATAACCGTAAATTGCGAAAACTTAAGGCTCTGTTTGCAATCTCTATTGATAAGTGCTTTTGGCTTTTTAAAAAAAAAACACTTATTTTACCAAACACTACCAACTTTTACTATCTCGGTTTTCGTGTAGAATATACTTTTTACTTTTTCTATTACACAAAAAACACTTATTTTACCAACCACTACCAACTTTTACTACTAATCACTTTTTCCCAAAAAGTGCTTTTATTTAAGAATAAGTGGTTGCAAACAAAGCCTAAGACTGCTGAGATACAGGGAATTCACAACAAGAAACATTAACTCATTTATATGTTAAAGGATATACTAATAATTTACACCTGATGTGTGCGTCCAGTTTCTAACCTCCATTCAAGCAAAGCAGAACCACCACAAGCAAGTATTTCAATCACTTTGTATCTGAAAGTTATCAAATTTTTTGTATACATCTATAGCACAAATGACATGCGTAACAAAGAAAAAGGGGATATGGGGCTGGGGTCACCTTACATCTTTCATTTCTGACTTAATGGGTCTGTTTAGCAACTGCAAAATGCTAGGGAAAGATAATACTCCCTCCGTCCCACTGGACTTTGCCAACTTTCCTTTTTTTGTTTGTCACAAAACAATTTGCCACTTTCCTTTTAAAGCAATGAATTTGTGGCCATTTTCATTTCTTTCTCCTCAACACAAACTTCAACTACATAGTTTTTATTATTATAATTTCACACCTAACATAAAGTTGGCAATGTTGAGTGGCAAAGAGGTAGTAAGACGGGAAAAAAAGAAATTTGAAAGGAAAGAAAATTAGGATGAAAGTAGAAACTTGGTTCAAATTCAATACACCAATTTCAGCTATTTGTTTGAACTTTGTTATTTATATTATACACGCAGAGAAATCTAAAAATATAAACGTTTAAACTTTAAAGGTTAATCATATGTTCTATTCCTTCATATTTTCCAAATTAAAAAAAAACATAAAAATTCCTTTTCCATATCATTTTATACCTTTCTCTACCATTTTCCAGGGTGCAAATATGGCATACGCATGTTTTCTTTTGTGAAAATTTAAATGTTGAAAATACAGAAGCATTAGTAACTCTAGATTTAGAAACTCTAGGTTTCCTATTTCTGTTCAGTTTGGACCCATTATTTCTTTATATAGGAACTGTAATATCCTTTAGAAAAAATAAAGTTGAATGTTATGAGTTTTATTATATCAACGAAATCAGTTTGTCATATGGAATCTTAGACTCGTCCTTCTCTGAGGCGCATAAGAAGAATGACTTTTTCACCTGCTAGCAGCATGACGAGTTTTGCTCAAACCATGGCCAGCAGCCATACGAAGTCTGTTGTATGGATCACGGCCTATTGGGATATCACAGCGTCCCAAAGCAGATGTTGGCACTCCACAAGTTAGAGCAACATAGACTCTCTTAATGCTATGATTCTTGAACTGCTCTGCCAGATGGGCGTGGGAATGCTCGTCCTGAAAGTTCTGAATATCAAATGCCACTCAAACTAAAAAAAATGTTTACACCATCTAGGGGTGTCCACTGGTCAGTTTTGGTAGGTTTCAATTTTATCGGTTCTGGTCAATTTTCAAAGTCTGAACCTTAACCCTGTGTTTAGGAAGAAAGAAAATAAGGAAGAAAATTATGGAGAAAAAGACACTTTACTTTGTTTGGGAAGAAAGAGAATATAGTCCGTATAAAGAAACGGAAATAAGCCTTATTTTTCATCCTCTTTTTTCACTCTGAATGGAAGGAAAGTTCACTATTCATTACAAAAGTTAGATCATTATCCTACTTACACTTTTAAATCGATTATGTGTATGCTATGAAGGTTACATCATAACTTTCTAATGTTATCACTTTATTTCCCCCTAAAATCAAATCAATCATTCTAATACAAGTATACAACACCACCACCATTCAAACCTTAGCCCCAAAAGAGTTTGGGGTTGGCTAACATGAATCAACATATGACATTGGAGCTCAAAAGGATTTTAAAAAAAGATAAGAAAAAATATAAGAAAGATAAAAAGATAAGATAGGATAAAAAGGATAAAATGATAAGAAACATAAGATAAAGATATTTGTGATAAAAAAAGGATGAAAAAAATAAGACGAAAAAGATAAAAACATAAGAAATATAAAAAATGAAAAGAAATCAATCACTCAACAAACAACAACATAGCAACATTGTCAATCAGTAACCAAAGCACTAACACAAACATACAATGGGGAGATGGATTGAATTACCAAATATTCACTTTTCCTTACCCTACCGTAGGTGGGAGCCTTTGCGGCACTGGGGTAATGAAGAAGAAGAAGACCAAATATTCACCTTTGCTACAACAAGTAATCCACTTGTTCCCTTGTCCAATCTGTGCACTATTCCTGGGCGAATAGATGACTCTCCCATGGCAGAACAATCATCCCCAACATAATCTTTCTCGGCAGAAAAGGCACTCAACTCATCATCAGAAAGTCCTTCCTGAATGGGGAATGGCCCTATGGGAAGGCTACAATGATGAAGAATTCCATTTACAAGTGTCCCAGTAGCATTGCCGGGTGCTGGATGAACAACCTTGTGTCATGCATGCAGCGAAAGTAGTACGCCAAATTAGTAACTATAACAAATATCTGGTACAGAATTTGACTGAAGCTTATTACTGATTCAGTATTTCAGGTTCACTATAAAAAGTATTTCGAAATTTAGTCGGATTTATTTTTAAGATTATTTTTGGAATTCTTTCCATTTGTTTCTTTGTGTTGGAATCTATGTTTGTCTTCACAAACTCAATATAAGCAACACAGAAACTTCAAAATGAAACATTACCCACAGAAACTTGAGTGCTAACTCTGTCCTCCCAAAAGAAGCGTCACGTTTGACCAGGGTACAACCTTTGATTTGGTCAGGGTGCAAGTTCCATAATGAATGATGAGTCCTGCTTATACTGTTTAACATTTATTTCTTGACTTAACAAAATTTATGCTATGTGGCTTATGTTGTACTCTTGTTTTGTCAAAATTGATGAAAGATGATTTGGTTTGATCAAATATAACTTTTTTTGGGATGAAAAAGAGGAGTTTGAGACAAAACTCACCATTTGTGCAGGCTTGTTAATAACAAGGACATGATCATCTTCATAAACAATGTCCAGTGGGATATCTTCTGCTTCTGCCCTCAATGGCTGCAATTCAGAAATAGTACAACAAACTTTATCCCCGCTTTTAACAGCATGTGAAACCTACACACATTAAAATCCTTCAAAAGTCTGACAAATCTGAAATGAATCCACACTGCCAAGAGGAACAAATCAAAGGTAATAGAACTAACATTCTTTAAATCACACCAAAAATCAATTTTTTATAGTTTGGTGAAATTAAAATCAGCCAGCCTTATCATAACTATTCTCACAAACGCTTCAGGATATCAAAATAAAAACAACAAACAACAACCTTATCGACTATACGTCCATTAACAGAGACGAGCCTAGACCGAATGCTGGACTGAACTCGAGCTCTGCTGACCCCATCAATGCGGGAAGATATCCAAGAATCGAGCCTGAGCTTCCCAGAATTTGTTTTTACGGATTCCTCTAGTGTAATGCCGGAGTAGTTATTGAGCGGGTGGTCATAAATTGGTTCGGGCCTGCTGCTAGAAGCCGTTGAATTTGAGAGAGCCCTGAAAATGAGGTTCGAAACTTTGCGGACACTAGCAGCAGAAGGTCCAGGGTTTTGAGCAAGAAGAGGAGAAAGTGAATTTGAATTGGTCGCCAGCATCATCTCCACGCTCGCCTCATTCCTTAAAGTTCTGCTGCTTCTGCATACCAATACCGGCCAGGAGGAAGTCACAAATTTGGGATTTCTCTCACCTGAATATGGAGGCTATCTAATCCTATCTCCTTCTTTAAAGTTCTTAAATTTTATGTATTCTACTTCGACTACATTTTATTTATTTATTTTTATGAAAAAATATTGTTAAATTTGTCTTATTGTAAATTTTAAATATCTTTTTTTTTTAATTTTTTTACTAATATAAATTTATATATATTAATGGTCAAAGTTATGTCTCGGCAAGTGTGAAATGTTGACCATTACATTTATTTAAGAACGGAGGAAGTATCAGAGGATTGTACGATTTAGAGAGCCCTTTTTTGGACAATTTGGAGACCCCTTTTGTTAACAGTTTTTTTTTAATCTTTCATAGAAACATTTATGAGAAAATTATCAAATAAGCTCTGTACTATATCAGAAAACTCAATTAAACTCCTGTATTTTGAAAACACCAGATTAAACTCTCGAACTTCTAAAAAACGTTCAATGAAGCGTTTTAGCCGGTTAAGAATCGATTTCCCGGTTGCCTCCTGGCAGGCCACGTGGCAGTTATTTTCTTTATTTTTCCTTATTTTTCTTCTTTTGGTTTTCTTTCTTTTTTCCCTTTCCTTTTCTTTTCTGGTTTTGCGTCGATCCTCATTTTCATCTTCCAAGGGATCTTACTTTCCATCGTCACTTCTCTTTCTCTTTCTTTTTCGTTTTTTCTTTCTTGATTTCTTTCTCTATATGTTTCTTTTTTCCATTTGCAGAGGAGAGAGGATGTCTTCGCATGAGAGAGAATGTTGTCGCCGAATTTGCTGCCGGATTTTGCCAGAGATTATGGCAAGAATAGTCGCGTTTGTTCTGAACCTTCTATTCGGCGGAAGAAGTCGCCTGAGCTTATGACAAAGCCGCCAAGGAGTTCTGAGGAACCAAGTATATTTTTTTCGATACCGGGAGATCTCAAATTGAGATTCTCAATTTGCAGTTCGATTTGAGCCTAAAACAACAGGGGTGAATGGCCTCAGTCTGGACCAGCTCCATTGAGTACTCTTCTTGTTCACATAGAGGATGTCGGTGAGTGCGCGCCATCTTGGAGTGGCGGAGCGATGCATCGGGTTGGAGCAGTGGGGCGGTGGAGCTGTGCGTCGTCTTAGAGGCAGAGCAGCAGACCTTTTCCATTTGATGAAGTCCTTCCATTCTATCTCATGAAGTGGTTCGTAAGTGCACTAAGGCTTTAGGTTTAAAATTTTAGATATTCATTCTGTAAGGGTTAATAAAGGACCGGACATGGAAAATAGATTTCGGAATTTTAAAAATGACCCCATATCACGATTGATTTTTCAAAAATTACGAGTTTTACCCCGTTTCTCTATTCCATAGCGAGTTAGCTTATAACCGTTACAGATAAACTTTTACATTTTATAATTTTGACCCCATCGTCCAAAATACTTTTTCATTATTTATGAATTTGACCCCGTGTTAACATATCATAACAGTTCAACATTAACTGATGTTAAATGTCTGTTATAGAATGCATATTTTGTACTAGTGAGTTGTCGTCCCTTTGCGAAGTTCGCCGGAGGTCCCAACAAGAAGAGCCGTGTTTGCTCAGGACCTTGGATATGAGGGAGGAAGCCACCTGAGTAAACAATAAATAGAAAATGAAGAAGGGGAAGTCATGGGAACTGGGAAGATGGAGAACGATGGGTAAGTAAGTCTGGGAAGAGGAGAACCAGAAATAGGAAAGAGAAATAGAAAATGAAATAGAAAAGAAAAAGGAGAAAAATAAAGAAAAAAGAATATAATCACCATGTGGCCTGCCACGTGAGCAGTCAACTGGGAAACCGGTTGTTAACCTATTAAAAACACTCAATTGAACGTTTTTTAAAAGTTCGAGGGTTGTTTTAATAACATTTCTATTACTTTTATTAGGCGGTCTGCAAATCGTGTTGCTCATGAGCTTGCTCGAGCAGCCGTTTTTTTGTCTGACTGTCAAGTGATCTGGTTGTCAAATCCTAGTTTAGCAGTATGCCTTCATTCGGAGCTTTTCAGGATATGTCTTTTAACCCGTTTCAGACACCCGGAGGTAGCCACAGAGGCAGCCGCGGAGGCCAAAGCAGAGGCAGCCGCGGAGGCAACCCAGGAGGCAACCGACTCGAAGACGAAGAGACCGAAGACGATTATATCATAAATTATGATGAATCTAAATATTATCATAATGGACGAAGGAGTATGTAATAATACATTTTTAATTTAAATTGAACATTGGTTATATCATAATTCTAGTCTGTTTATTACTTTTATTAAATGTTTATTATAGTATGTTTAATACTTTTATTCCATTCTGATAGATTCCAGTATATTTAATTGTTATAATTCTACAACAATTTTTTTAAAGATTATTTAAAATATAATTAAAAATAATAATTTTTTTTTAAAATAAAAAAGTTTAGTCACAGATCCGGTCCGTGAAAAATATTTTGTCCGGATTTCTCAAATATTTTTTTTTAAAAATTAAAAAAAATCAATTTGAAACTTTAATCACAGATAATGTCCGTGACAAATCGAAAAATTTGAAAATTTGAAACGAAAATTTGAAAATCTGAATTTTTGAAATTTGAAAAATTTGAAAGTTTACCCTAATAAGTGGGATCTTAAAAATATAAATAAACGTTGTCCGTGACTAATTTGGCGGATTTAAAAAATTAAATAAAATGTAGTCACGGATTTATCCGTGACTAAAGTACCGGAATAGCAACTCCGGTCACGAATTAGTCACGGATAGTAGCCGTGACTAATCCGTTACTAAGATTAGTCATGGATAAAAGGCCGTGACTAAAGTTAGTCACGCCCGTTTAGTCACGGATTCGGTCTGTGACTACATCTGTGACTAAAAAGGTTAGTCACGGATTTTTAACACTACATCCTCCCTTTTTGTCACGAGTTCATAAAAGAGAATTGTACATTTTCATGTGTATACGAACTCTACTTCATTATACTACGTATTAGCTAGTGTTGGTATTGAATTTATTTTGAAACACATAACGATTTTGATGTTGTCAAATATACGTCAATTGGATGTCAAAATGCTTTTCTCCATGGTCACCTCATTGAGCAATTCAGTTTATATGCATCAACCTCCGGGGTTTATTCATCCACAATTTTCTAACCAATTTTTCGTCTGAGAAAAGCTATATACGGTCTCAAACAAGCGCAATGCGCCTCGTTCTATCATTTTATCAGTTTTATCGGTTTAAGCTAATTCAATTTGGGAGATATTACCAAACTAAAATTATTTTTGTACATTTCAATTTGATTTCAGATCAGTTGGGGAGTGATGCAGTTCAATTTGATTTCTAGTTCGAGTGAAACTGTTTTGGCTCATTTTAGTTCAACCTAACTTGATACGATTTCATATGTAAATTTGCTTATTTCATCCATATATCTAAGTTCTTATATATAGGTTAGGTGTTCGACTGTTCGCTCCACTATTTTTGAGCTAGAATTCCAATTTTGGTCAAACCGATTCTGGTCTGGTCTTGGACCGGTTCTCAACCCTAAAGGACTCATGTCGGAGCTGCTTCCGGGTGTCGGAATCTTCCAAAGATTTCTTGATCTGATCCGTTGCCCAGCCCCATTAGTTCTGCTTTCAGTCTCCGGAAACCACCGGCACAAAAAAAACTTTGAATGCATCTACCGCCATTTTGATACTGCTGCTGCCGACTGCCGACTGCCGCCACCACCATCGGACTGTGGGCCACCAATGGACTGACCCGATTATCCAGGGGGGTTCGAGGGGAATTAATAAATTAGATTAGGGGTATTAGGAATAGAAAATTATGGAGTAATATTTAATCCTATATAGAGAAGATTAGATATTCACAACTATCTAAAAAGGATTGTTGTGTTTGACTCCTATTAAGGACAAAATCCTAGCTACGTACGTATTTCGGAATATATTTTTTCCTGAAATCCATCAGAAGCCTCCCAAGCCCTAATTCATGAGTAGAGTTATTTCTTCCATTAACTTTCTAGAAAGTCTAGTCTGTGAAAACTTGGAATGTAAGGAAAAGTTACTAATTGGATTACAGGATTGAAGATTCAATTCTAAGCACCGACCTCAAACAAAAATAAATGGGATAAATACCGTAAGATGACCAAAAGTAATCAAGTTTCCTAGAATATGATCATCAGAGTTGTTTTTAGTCGTGCGTATGACTAAAAAGAAATTAAGAATGGTTGAAAATGACTCCATTGATGGACAAAAATACCCTCCTAAATAAATGTGCTTCTTCCCTGCGGACTGCGGTATCGGTGAAAGCGGGTAGCAGGAAAGGAAAGGTCGATCATTGCTGCAGTTGAAGGAAAATAGTGCTCCGTATTTTGCAACGCGAAATTGTAGGGTGTGACCTATTATGCATTTAGTATAATTGGTTTTATTATTGTGATATGATTTATGATTTTCTAAGGACTTTTACCCTATGATAGGACCGAATTATCACCAAAATTCCTAAATGGGACTTGACCTTTTATTTTACGTAATTAGGACTTTTATTCCCAGTATACCCTTGGTATAATAAATCATTAAACCCCATCAGCCCGACATCTCAATTCGATCCACATCTTTCTACTCCGCATCGATTGAAGGCAGCCCCTCTCCGATCGACATCCTCTTCCGCGCACCTTATTCCGACCAGCGGTCTCCAGGTAATTTCTCCTCCTTCTCTTCCTTCTTCTCCTTCTCCTCTTTCCTTATCCCTCTCTGTCCTTCTCCTCTTTCCTTATTTCACTTCCCCCATCTGCTCTATTTTCTAATCCTCTTTCTTTTATTCTCATTTTCTGTTATTTTGTTTGAATTTTTTTCGATTCTAAATGGATATTTAGAATTTGAAACCTTTGGGAATGAAAAGTTGAGGCTCTCGTTCAAAAAATTTCAGATCTAAAATTTATTATTGTGTACCTTTATGAATTTGTAAAAATTGCCACATTTATGGCATTTGTTTATACAGATGGAAATATTACAAGTTCAAAAATGCCAGATTTTGGAATTTTCACAAATTATGGCATTTAATTGAATTCATCGGCAACACAACTTCATATTTCTTCTCCTATTTCACATTTTCAACTCCAAAATTTGAAAATGTCATAATTTGTAATCTGAAAATTCCATGTTTATGCATGTTGAAATGCCAATTTTTTGTCATTATTGTTATCATAATTGTAATTTTGCTTGAAATCCATATCACACACTCCACAGGAGGTAGCTGTGATTAAGAAGGTGTCAGCATCTCCACAGGGGATTTAGCCGTGGCACCATTCTCGCTGGAGGACGGGGCAAGTCACCTCACCGGAGGCGTGCAGCGGCAATCGGCGGCGACGGCGGCGATGGTCTTGACAGCCGCGGCTGTGTCGCACTGAAGGTGCTGAAGATGTCCGACAGTTTGAGGTTTTACGCTATAAGGATCAATGAATGAGGCAGCTGGGGAATTGTATGTTGACTCTCGAGTCTTGACAGCTGGGTTTTATTTTTTTATTTTGCCTAATTTCATTAAGGGCAATTGTGTCTAATTTGTTCATTTTTAATCCTATAAATTATGAGAGTCCTATTTGTGCATTTCAACATTGATTTAGTCCCATTTAGGGAATTATGTCATTTTCTAATGTCAACCCATGTACCATACCTAATCAAGGCTGCATGTTATTCCCTCACAAACAGAGTTGAATGGCTACATTATTTTTGTTCAATTAAAAATACTTTATACTGCAGTTACTGCATGACATTATTGCACTTTCGGTAAATATCACCGCACTTCCGCCAACATTAGTTCTCTTCTCATTCACTTAGAAATTTATTTATAGTTTTTATTTTTATTTCTTTAGATTTAATAATTTCAATATTTTACGTCTAATTAATTATATTGCATATAATGCGGGTGATATTGCTCTACATTAATGCACTACTTTTCATAATCATTGCACTTTCCGCAAATGCCATGGCACGATCTATTGCATCCGATTCACTGCACAACACATTTCGTCAATGCATTCCTTCATTGCCTATGTTTACTGCCCATGTTTAATGCCCACAAACCCTAATTTCAATAAAACATAATTTCAAAAATAGAAAAGAAGAAGAAGATGATGAATGAGAATGGAGGAGATGGCTGGGCGGCGGCAAGATTGGGACGGAGGTGCGCCGCTAGGCGGCGGATGTAGGTTGGCGTAGGGACGGAGGAACGCGGCTGGGCGGCGGCACGCAAGGATCGGGATGGCGGCGGCGCACATGGATTGGGATGCCAGATTCCATGTCTAGGGATGGCGGCGGAGCCCATAGATCGGGACAGTAGTGGCACACATGTCTAGAGACGGCAGCGGGGCAAGAGTGTGGCTGGGCGGCGGCGGCGAGCAAGCGCGCGGCAGGAGTGCAGGACGATGGGGTGGGCAAGCATGCGGCTGGATGGTGGTGGCACGACTGGACGATGACGGTTGGACAACGGTGGCACGACTAGAAGATCGCAACAGAGAAGCTTCTTCTGGGTCTACCATTCTACTTATGATCGCATGTTTTGATCAATTGTTAGGGATGAGTGGTGGAGTATTAAAAATACGGAGCAATACATAGTAACTATATGGAAGTACATTTTTTGTTTTCTGGTATTCAATTAAAGGGTAAATGTGGAACTAAAAATAGACATGATATGTCTGATCGTGCGGATACGTGAAAGAAGTCATCATATTAGGAAAAAACATGTGAGTCATAGATTGAGAAAGATGTCATCTTTTAGTCATAGAGATATTACTCAAAATGGGACTAAAAAAGTTTGAAAATTCCAAAATGGGACTTCCATGTTTTTATTCCCAAAATAGGATTAATCACTGCCATGTTTTGGCAGTACCAGACTTCAAACATGGCAGTGTTTTCTAAATTTGGCAGTAATTAGTCCTATTTTGGGAATAAAAACATGACAGTTCTATTTTGGAATTTTTGAACTTTTTTAGTCCCATATCGGGAACTTTCCCTTAGTCATATGAGGGGTAATAATCTCAAAATAAATAACCGCAGTCCCATTCCCATATTTATTATTATTAGATTAAAAAGTAAAAAACAAAACCCTACCTACGTAGATACGATAGTATATTTTTTCCTGAAATCCGCCGTCCCAAGCCCTAATTCATCGGTATAGTTATTTCTTTTATCAATTATGGAAGGTCTAGTCCCCGAAAACTTAGAATGGAAAGGAAAGTTACCCATTGGATATAGGTTTCGTCCTAATGAGAAAACAATTCTCAAGGATTACCTTTTCCCTAAGGTTAACGGTCTCGGTTTGTGGCAAGGCATCATTCACGAGGCTGACGTTTACCGGGAGCAGCCGTGTGATCTTCTTCTTCAATACCTGGTGGACACCGCAGAGACGTACACCTACTTCTTTACAGAGAGAGCAAAAAGGTACAAGAACGGGTCAAGACCTAACCATTGTACTCAGGATGGGAAGGGTGTGTGGAAGATTACAAATAAAGTAGTGCAGGTCAAAGATGGGTCAACGGTGATCGGGAAAAAGAACGTTCTTGTTTTCAGTCTTCATGAGAATAAGGCGAAGACGAACTGGATCATGAGAATAAGGCGAAGACGAACTGGATCATGCATGAGTATTTTTTAGACGAGAAGTACGTGAATAATATAATGTAGTCAACGATGTAGTGTTGTGTAGGATTCACGAAAGAAATTCAAAGAAACGAGGTCTTGAAATTGGTGAATCATCAAGATGTTATGGAGCGGGCAATAATGATCAGATAATGAATTGGGTACAAGGCTTACATATGTTGATTTGCAGCCGCCGCCATTACATAATATGCCCGCCCCCGCCCCCTTTTGTCAGTTTCACGATGAATTCCAGAGTTCGGTTACCAATCATAATATGGAGGCAGGGTTAGAGAACGTGAAGACTAGCATTGACTTGTCAAACCCTAATGGGGACTATATTATGGAGCTGATGAGTTCTAATTAATACCGCCGCGCCAGGCAGTAAGTACTTTGGAGGTTAATAATAATGTTGGTGTCATGAATGGGGTGCAATTATATCTTCCGCCGCCGCAGGAACCGCCAGTGATTGATGTGCGACCGGCTGCTACGGTGACCGGAGTAGATGGAGAGACGACAGTGGATCATATGGCGTCATTTGGTCAGTATGATGATGGTTTCGAATTGTGGGATATTAATCTAGAGGGGTTCGATAGTTCTAGTAGAAAAACGTCAATTAGAGGCGCTTCATTTGAGGCACTTTTCTTTACAAGCGCCTCAAATGAGTAGGCAATTACATTTTTATTATCTATACTTCTATGCTAATATAAAAGCAAAAGAAATTTGTGAATAGTACTCCCTCCCAAAAATGTCACAATCAAAAATTTCCCATGCATAATCATAAAATCCTAGACTTTGCTAGCCATGGTAAAACACAAAATTACTATTGGTAGAAAAAATCTTAATCTGATGGTTAAAGCCTGTCCGATTTTGGTGTTGGCATTGCGTAAAGAAGGGGAGTAAACAGTTAAAAAAATGAAAGGCACGTTCCTTGACTCCCATTGGGTATCAAAAATTCTGCACTGTACATTTCCACAATAAAATATCGGGTGAATCCCTTTAATTGATTTGGTCCATCATTTTACTTTATTTGGTTGAAGTTCATTTTTGCTATTGGTTGAGGTGGGTGGCATGAATAGTCCAACATGAAATCCTATTGGCTGAAATGGGGTGGCTGGAATAGTGCAATTATTTATTGATAAAAAATTCCTAACATAACTTGGTTAGAAATGAACTAGACAATGTTACTGGAACTGAAATCTCTCCTATAAAAGCAGGATTCGGGAATGCTTCTTCCCACACCAAAATATATCAGCCTGAGTACCCAAACCAAGTTAAATTTCTTTCAAAAAAATGGTTGAAATGTGGTCAATGATTCGTGAGATCGACCAAAGTAGAATGACATGGGCCATGAAGGCAAAAGCTGCAAGGGTTTATCATGAGCCTCCCCATGATGGCTTTCCTCCATCCTTGGAAGTGATCTTTCATGATGAAGAGGTATTTTATTCTAGATCTATTCTAATAGGTAACATTAGAAATGATTATATGGGTTAAACTAGCCTTACATATGTCTTGGAAGTCATATTTCATGTAGTGTAGATGATTCATATTTTTTATTCCTTTGATTTTTATTGGGTTTTAATTGACTTTTAATGTGACAGGGAAACTGCAAAGTTCACTGATCAATGAAGAAAATTATTTGGGGAACTGCAGTTTTTGGCTAACCCAAAATCTACAGAAATACAAGAGGAATTGTTACCTATTCAACTATAGGAAACAATTTATGTTGCCATCATCTTTTGAACAAATTCATTTGAGATTGAGAAAATAAATATATTATTGTGTGATTGGAACCCCTTGAAATTGGAGAGAGAAAAATATTATCACGGCCTAAGTGTACCTTGGTTCCATGGTTGATCTATCAGGTATATTTTTTTAAACAAATCAATTCTTTGATGGTGTGATGGTTACTTTTAAAATGTTCTAAGCAAAGATCACTGACGAATGAAGAAAATAGTTTGGAGAACTGCATTATGTTCCCCAACTCAAAATCTATGGACATACAAGACAAATTGTTACCTATTAAAAAATAAGTAACAATTTGTGTGGCCATCTTTTCTGTACAAGAGAAATTCTTAGAGCAAAATCTCTCTGGAGCAACTCAAAATCATGTTACCTATTCAACAATTCTCAGAGAATAGTTGTTGATGGGAACCCATTCAAAACAGTTGTTTGATGGATGAACGTAATTGTGTGTAGCAGTGCGTAAAAAAATTAATAGAGAAGCAATGCACATACCTGGGGTCGGCCTCGAGCGTGGCATGTCCTAAATCTAACCTAAGTCTAATTATTACAACATTTTCAAATTGAACCTCAAAACAATAAAATAAAATAATTCACAATCACGGATCAAAACAAATCGAAACATCAATGGTATCCCTGCAAATTTCAACATATAGTTCCGCGTTAGAATGTTATGAATGCAACCACAAGGTGCTGTAAACTTTTCTCAATAGATTAATATTGACTAGAAACATTAAATCATTCTGTAAAACATTAAAGTTAGAAATCTCACTGGACAAAGTTTAAAATCAAGTCCCAAAAAAAATCCTACGGTGAATAGGATACATTTTTATCAGAATCTCTAGATTTCAGAATAATAGAGTGATTTTTTTCTTATCCCAGGTCACCCCACCCCCACCCCACCCCCCTGATTGGCTGGCATTACCGGGGCAATTAGTTTCACTATGGCAATTCGTATATTATATTATATCGCTTACAAGCAACCATAATATCACTTACAGGCACTTTTAATCAAAATAAGGTTAAATTTTCTATACATGATACTGAAATAAATATATTTTGAGTGTAATTGGAATTCATTCAATTTAGGGAATCAATATATTAATTTGGGACTTGGGAGTTTGTGAAAATGCAATAGGTTTACAAAAATATTACAATGATGAAGTAAGAGTCTTGGGATATTTTTATTCTCCATAATATAGTCCTTATTTACTATGTGTAGCTTAGACTATGTAGGAAAAAATCAGTTTTTATTAATAATTTTATACCCCCAAAAAATAAATGGGGGTGGGGGAGAGTCTTTAATACGTTTGGTGGGTACACATTTGTAGCTGTAAGCCTGTAAGTGTTTTTTGACTTTTCTGTATTTCTCTAGATTCTTCTTCTGTTTTTTAAATGATATACTACGTACTACGTAAGTAATAATTTAAAAAGTTCCTTACGCTCGAGGTTTCTGGAATTTTCTGAAATATATAATGTACATTAAAATATCAAGAATCCGGTGCCTGTATTGTGAAGAAAGGGTTACATATAAATTAGAATTCATAAAAAAATACTCCGTATGTTTTACGAGACCATTACTTAAATATTTAAAAATATAAATGAAATAATTTAAAAATCAAACCTGGGGTAAAATAAAATGGAAAATTTTTCTTTTTTCAAATAAATAAGTCTCTTAGGATTAAAAAATATCTAGAATACTGACTATTTAGAGCATTTCGAAACCCGAATAGAATCGCATGTAATTAATTTTTTGTGCGAAAAATCAATAGGGAAAATTTGTTTTTGGAGTCATTAAAAAGCGAAGCAGAATTCAACAAAAGATATTTTCGCATTGTTGTTGCTATTTCGGTAAAATAAAGTTATATTTCTAGAACGAATCACAAAATGAAAAAAACTACCAGTTTTGGATGAAAGTTTTGAGAAATACCAGAAAATGAAAGACCTTCTCACCTCACCTTCGGATCTTGGAGATCCATAAGGATTTATCGTTTTTTATTTTTGACCGGTGGACTTCTGGTGGTTTTTGTTACATATTATGAAAACAGTGAGTGGTGACCGGTAGATCTACACAAATTCAAGATGGAAGTGGGTAGGGAAAAAATTACAGATCTACTCTCTAGCATATCTGTATGATTTGTGGTTATTCTTCACGGGAAATGTGATGAGGTTGTTTGCGGTTAAAGAAAACGGGAGTAGAAGGAGTGGTGCAGTGTTTGTGCATGTAAGGTTTTGTGTTTTGGTGTGGTGTGAGAAGAAACTTACCGGGAAAAAAATAACAGACGTTGAACGGTGGAA